GAAGAGAGTTATGATTCCCCAAGCAAGGGACACAGACCCAGAGATGTTAAGTGACTTGCCCAAGGCTACTCCACTACTGATTAATGGTGCTACGATTCAGTAGAGGAGTTCCTGGTCCTCCAGGATTTAGCCAACACTGCCCTCTTGCAAGTCTTTAACACGGTCTGTGAGGCAGAAAAGGCAATGACACACTGTAGGGCTCACGTCTACAATTATCTATTTTTCACAATAGATATAAAGAGGAGCTTTGTTACCAGCATTCACTTAGCCATTCGCTCAGCTTCCGAGCATGACATGAGAATGATCAGGACTCGCGCATCAGACACATGCAGTGTCAAAATCTCTGTCATGTGAGGACACAAAGGGCTGTATTGCAGCAGAGTTCCCCTGGGGATGAAGCTGGTCCGGGGAATAGTATCCCTACAGCTTAGGACTTTCACCTGCTGGAGCGGGGCATCTGTCCTTTAAACCACCCAGGAACTTGTTTCCAGCATTTCTTTGTTTCCTTGTACTGCAGCCCCTTTGCCTCACTCCAGATGAAGCACACAGGACTCCAGAAGGAAATGGCTTTTGGAGAGCTCGGCTTGATCCCCAGAGCACTCTGATCAGTCCTGCTCCCCTTACAGTGTAAATCAGATTCACTTCATTGGCCTCAGTCTCAGTGTAAAACCAACGTAACGCACAGATGCAGGAGAATCAGTGAAGTCCAGCATGGAGTTTGCTCCTGATTGCACACAGAAAGTGCTCAGTGCTTCTGCTCATATGTTGCAAGAGCAGAACTGGTCACAAAGGTATTTGGAAGCGTGCTGTTGAAACTCTTTCCATTTGAATGAAAACTGAAATTTCATTTATGTTTCCAAAATCCTCCACCGCACCCCCAGAACCACCTTTTATCTGAGTCTACCCCCGGTGCCAGTGTTGACAGGAGATCCACTGGCTAAAGACAGCTAGAGAGAGAAATGACTAGTCAGCCATGGAAGGCTGGATTTCTAAATCAAGTAACACAGTTGGCTAGGAAGCTTCCCTTACATTTCCACTGCATTATACCCACTAGCCCATGCCATGGCCTTGAACTCAGAGCCTCAGACTACCTGGTGCAGCCACTAATTCCAGTCTGTTACCTCCTCAGCTGAGCACTGCGGTGGACATAAGTGGGCCTAGCCACCCACCCACTCCCTTCAATCAGAGTGCTCACCCAGGATCAGCTGGCCCTTTATCCCTTCCTATAAAAACCTCTGATCTGGATGAGGAAGTGTCCGGGCAACAAGATTTATTCTTGTATTTAGGCTGCCTTGCTCTTGGCTTGGGCCTCTACCAGCTCCCCAGTGGATTCTCTGGCTAGCCAACCTAGCTTGCCAGCAGACCCCAAATCTGGTCTGACTCTGACTCCCTGATCCAACCCTGGTTTGACCTCTCAGATGCCTGACCCAGCTGCCTCCTGACCCTGTGCTCTGCCTGACCCTCTGGCTCTCTGACTCGGTTCTCCAGACACATCTTCTGGCTTCCTGGCTCCCCTGTACTCAGACTCTGCACCCACCCCTCGCATCTTGGTTGCTTCTTCTGACTAGGTGATCCCCAACCTGGCTGTCCGTGAACTGGCATGATGCACACGGCCTCCACAGCTTTTGGCAGTCCCCAGTGATTTCAGTGTGAGTTAAGTCTGAGTAGAGAGTTGGGGTGTAAGGGCACAGACAAACTGGAATGTTACAGAGCACTACATCCCAACAGAAAGGGCAAAATCAGACAAAAAGCACTCTGTCTGCACAGTGACATGAGTGTGTATAATGGTTCATGCTGAGAGAAAATGCATGTGTATACTGTGTATACCTTTACTGCATGCATACCGGGATGTGTCTGCATGAACTGTGCTGTGAGCATGGATGTGCAGCAGCCTGTGGGGTGTGTATGCCCATGCGCATTGTTTGTATGTGGCATGGGCGATGGTACGTAGGGGGAGGAAGGAGAGTGGGACATTTGTGCTGATATGACGTTTCAGTGCTCTGGCCATCTGTGCACAGATAAAGGTTGTGGTACAGAGGGCTCCATTTAAAGGCACTGAGACAGCTGGAGTGAGTGCAACACAGCAGCTGTCCCAAGTGCCTGCTCAGCAGATTGCCACAGCTCTGGGAAGCCCAGCCCATGGAGGAGAAGAAGGAGCTCGTGTCTTACTGAAGATGGCTCTGCAAGTTACTCTCATTAGCCTGGCATGACAGTCACAGACACCAGCTTCTCCATACGCCTTCTGTGCCAAGCATGGGGTTTGCTTCAGGAATCACATGCCAGGGGAACACACACCCTTCACATGTTCATAATAACAAGACAGGACATAAAAAGATCTGCCTCATTACATGCTAAGGACAGCATGTATGTAACCAGCTACCAGCCTGAGCCATTGATGTCAGTGCTCTTGGACTTCAAGCAGGCTGCAAGTGAGGGAAAACTATAGGTCTGGCTCCTGCTGATCTTTAAAGCTGTCCATGGTCCATTTTGGATGGGGCGGTATATTAACTCCAATGTCCTCATCAATTTCCAGCTCAGGGTTAGCCTATACATCACAATGCTGGACTGCATAGACTTGTCCTGTGAGCTAGCTCAGCTACCAGAAGCAGTAAAGATGCATTAGTAATTAGCCCTGGGCAAAGTGCTGCACTCAGCTCTACTGCTTCCAAAACCTGAGCTGGCTTGGGGGCGCTCTCCACACGACAGTGCCTTGTGCTGGGTGGACACTCCTCACACAGCTGCACTCTGCCTCCTTATACTCCCCTTCTTAAAAAATGTTGTGTAGCAAGAGACTGGGGTAGAAAGGCAGCCAGCTTCAACCACAGAGCTGACTGCATTTCAGTGCTCAGGGAATGATCCTTCCCAAGTAGTCTATAAATCCTCAGGAATCATGAAGGCTGCAAAAGTCTGCACGGAGACAGCCCCAATCGTGCGCTCAGCGGCACCCATATTACCAGGGTAGAACTGGCACCTAGTTACCATTAAGGAGCTATTCTCCCCTTGACGTGACTCTGTCCCTCCCTCTAAGGCTAATGACAATACAGGCCTGTACTGAGTGGAGAAAAAAAACTCTTGGGCACTTGTGCTTCACTGGTGATCGTATGACAGAAATCAATGGAGCCTTCAGGAACGTGATAACGTCACTTGTCTCAGTAGCCCGTGCATATGTAAGGTCACTCCTTTCAGTAGCCCTTGTCCCAAGTCTGGGCTCCCTATAGAAAGGAGCAACACTATAGCACAGACCTCCCACCCAGCACATGCGCTGCATTCCCGAAACAGTGGGCTGCAGCTGCTGCTGCAGTGTCTGGCCTGGCAGTCTGTAAAATGGTCAAAGGCGGACTGGCCACTCCCATCCCTCTCCGATAACAGTCAGCAATGTCAGAAAGCTGACAGATGCCCTTTTACAGGGATCTGCCCAGCTAATATTGTATTCATTCAAAGGGGCTATGAGAATCTCAAAATCGTTGACTGTGTCCAGCAGGGCAAAACACAACCCGCCTGGCCACTCAGATCTGGCAGTAGCACAGCCTTCCCCACCATAAAACAAACAGGGCAAGTGCCCAATCCTGACAAATCCCACTTCCCTAGGCCAGCCCTTCTGTAAGTCACCGTTCCTTGTCTCCAACAGCCAGGAGGATGCAGTGGGTTCCCTGTTCTTGCCCTGGCTTCCTGACTAGACAGGCCTGTAAAGCTCACCATGCTGGGCTCTACACACAGCAGGAGTTTTACCTGCAACCACTCCCCAGGGCTTCCAGTTTTCAAAGATGCCAGCCAAAGCTGAACACTCAAACCCTGCCAGCTGGCAAACAGGCAGGCAGTTATTGTTATTGATCGTCTGTATGAATGAGGGATCTATAGGCAGCTGTCATCTCAGGGTCTGATTTTGCAAAAACATCTGTGAAAAAATGCTTCACTAATCAGCCCTGTTCAGTGATTTCAGGGAGGCCTATAGCTCCTCACCAGTCCAGTGGCTGAACTGTCTTGTTACTGTATGTTGTGAGTGTGGAGCGATATGTGGCTGCACTGACCCTGACATGGCAGAAGTTAACAAACTGGGACACTCTGACCCATTACCTCTTTTGTGGAGCCTTGTACAGTACTTCCTGCCTCAACATCCAGCCAGCTGCTATGGCCAGCCAGTACGTAAACCAACCCTATCCTCCTTCCCATAGCCAGAGTCACAATCAGAGCAGGAGCCAACAGAGGCTGTAACCTCCCTACTCCCCTACATGGCAGCATAAGGGCTATGGCAATGTAGCTCCAAGCGTTCAGGGGATTGGGCCACCAACAGCTTTACAACCCACAGCAGCCACCTGGTTACTAAAGCCCAACTGAGCTGGTTTTTATACATGGCAGGCCTTGTCAGTGATGCAGGACCTTAAAATATGCCTCTGAGATGTTCCAGAGTTGACTACACTTTAGTGGAGGCAGTGATGACGAATGCAAAGCAGATATACACTAAACGCTTATGTGACATAGGAGACTTAGGCTCCGAAGCACCTAAGCAGCTTGTGAATCAAAATGAAACTTCAAGTACATTCAAAACTTTCACGCTACAGTTTTAACTCCCCTGTCAAATCCTGGCACTAAGCGTCAACTTCCCCAGCCATCAGCCCCCACCAGACACCACTGTCAGCAATTTGTCCCAGAGCCATAAATAATCCTGCCCCAGAACTGTGTTAACCTGCATTTGTAATCCCCCTGCCAGTGCACGCTTCTAGCTCCACTTCGCCTGATCCCAGAGTCTGTGAATTAATTACAGCCCTCAGCTCAGCTGTAGCTCAGCCTTTGATGCTATTGCCTGATGCTGCCATTGCCTCACCCAGGTACCAGGGCTAGGGGCAGACATTACACAGACCAAGCTGCTGTAGTGCAACGCTGCTCTGTGAACCCCAGCTGGCAACATCCCTCCTTCTCCCTGTACCATTGCTTCCACCATCCCATGTGGCTAGCCAGCGAACAGAGAAGAAAACACAAGACACAAATCCGCAGAGCCTTACCTGAGCTGCCAGCGCTTTCCGACGCACTCCTGGATGGCTTGGGCTGACTCTGTTTGCTGCTTGTCCGTACAGTGACTGAGGGAGGAGGAACAGTGCTGCTGCTGTCCCCACGAATAGTGGAGAGATCCTGCATACTAAAGCTCCTCAGTCTCTCAGAAAGGGCTCCCTGCCCCTGGGTAAACAAGGATGCAAACAAGACAAGAGAAGTTAGATTCCCCAGCAGGATGGACTTTGTAAGCCCCATCCTCCGGGCAAGAGGAAGGGAGGCAGCAAGAGGAATGTCCCGAAAGGTAACCTAGAAAGGCAGGGAAATGGGTTGCTTAAACTTTTGCTTTTTCTGTTTGCTTTGCTTTTAGAGTAAGTAGATGGGGAAGGTCTGGCTGTCAGACCGTTGTTGGAGAACTTCCTGGATGATCAAAGGAGTGTGCAGGGAGCTTAGAAAAAATTACATTTGTGATTACTCGAGGGGTCTGATTCTAATCCTGCATATACCAAAGTGCATTAGGAGTAATGCCACTGCTGTCAATGGAGTGACACTGGCATAAAACTGGGCTGAAAACTGAATAAAGCAAGCAGCATCAATCCTGATAGCATCTCTTTAGCATGCAGGCTTACACTGGAATAGTAAAGAATAGTGTAGCCATTCAAAAGGGGCCTTTACTTAAGCTTTCCCTTTACCAACAAAGCAGATATTAAGGGCTCAAAGTGCAAGTGCAGAAGAGAACAGCAGATGTAGAAGGCTAACTTGCAAGCTTTCTACATTTCTAGATTTAATATAATGTTTTTAAGTAGTGTACACACTTACACACACACAAACACACACTGTTCTTCAGTTATTACTTACCCCTTTGGTGACAACTACACTGTTACCCTTGCACTTTGAAGAATGGTGTAGCTTTATTTATTTATTTTTGAATATGGAAATCAATCTTTCTTTGTGATAAGAAAGCATCAGCGGGCAACATTTCCTATGGCATCAGCCTGACTTCTGCCACACTGGCCCACAGGACAGAAAGGTCTTGCAGTACACAATCCATCTCACATATCCACATGTACCAACTCACCAGCCTGCCGCACAGATTCTTTAAACACAGAGAACTGGAAAACTGAACCCACTATCCCACAAAGTGCTTGGCAAACAAACTCCCTGGAAACAGTTGCATCTGGGATTGAAACCGAACCAGACACTGGATGCTCAGACCTGATGCCACAGTGTGATGACTCAAATGGCTCCATAGGCAGTTGCTAGATCAGTAGTCCCCAAACTTTCCATCCTGAAGCCTCTTCATAAGAGAAAAAAGCTTTCAGGGAGCCACATCAGCCTCTTTAATCCTCTAGGCAGCTACTTTGTGGTTGTCACAACATTTCATTGGAGGCAATGTGACCAAAGATGCTAAGTGGGCTGAATCGTAGCCTGGAATGCTGGTAGGGAACATCTTGGTGGGCATGCTTTGCTGTAAACAGTTTCAGAAGTAGGACATCTAGATGCGTTTTTTGCCAATGGCTGGCTGTGTCTAAAAAGACAGATTGAGGCTCTGAGAAAGCTGGGGGAGAAAGGGTAGTCCCAGTGAGGACAGTGAAAAGCAAGCAAGGGTTTGAACAAGAACAGGGGGAACTGTGGTGCACAATTTGGAGCTGAGTGGCCTGCTCTGCTGTTTGGGACATTGGCACTTTGACCCATGCCACTTTGAAGAGGAAAACACCCCCCTTCCTGGGAGCTGGGCAGAAAAGGGGCTGTCTAGGATGAGTGGCACTTCTACTGATCACTGGGGTAACCAGGGACAAAGAAGAGCCAGGTCTCAAAGCAAAGAGGCTTGCCCCTTGTGAAGCCACACCAGGGCTGGCTTCAGGGAGTCCTTCAGGACAGGGAGACCAGACAAGACTTCTCCTTGGGGAGTCCCAAGGCAGAGCTTTCCTTGAAAGATATGATCCCCGACAGGCGCTCAAAGGAGTGCTCTGCAACCTACAGCATGGGAAGCAATATTCTAGATCAATGAAAAGAAAATATTGCACTACACTGATTTCTCTAATGTCGTCTAGTCCCAGCTACTGAAGAAGAGGAATTTCTGGCTTCATTTTTTTAGTCTACTGCATCTTTAAGCTTCCAAGAACTTTCTCTGTGTGTGTGCAGAGTTCAACATTTTTTTTCAGACTTGCTACAGAGTTAGGAAGGAGACTCACACACATGCTGCTCTCTTCCCTGGAGATCTTATTCTTGCAATTTCTTATTTGCCATGTTCAAGAATAATGAGATATTTCAAATGGGGTAGATGCTTTGTTCCTTGCATATTGGCCCAAGTCTTTCGATTAAAATGTTTTCTTCTGCTGATTTTTATACTTTCTGGTGGCCTCTCTTAAGCAAACTTTCTATTAAAATCTGATCTCTCCTACCTCTCTTTCCTGCCGCACACAGAACCAAATGCTTTTACCTTACTCCTGCTGTGCTTCCTTTCTCTGTGCCATTCTCAGGGCTTGTCTTCACTGCAGCAATTAGCTTGCCTTACTCCACTCAAAACAGCTTTGTGAGAGCAGAATAAGAGCAAGCACACTGCAAAGCACTCCAGCTACAGAGAGTCACTGGATTAGCCCCTGAGCTGTGCTTGTAACAGGGCTTCCTGCATCCCTAATGCATCACTAGCTCAAACATCAGGAGCACTCAAGATTCAGCCCAAGGCCTCACTGACAGGTCAGCAAGTGTAAGATTATAAGGCACCACCTTTGTATGTGACCTAGAGATTTTTGTGTGCAGACAGGAGTGGATTTAGGGACAACACTCATGTAATACCTCCTGCTACCACTGCAGGAAGATAAGCTCAGGGATAGCGTTGTTAAGTCTAGAATCAAGGAGGCATGCTATTGTATTTTCAATGCAGCCTGTATATATACATATAGATCAATGACCTCACAGACTCCTGTGACATAACATGTCGCATCTCATTGTGTCAATTATACTTTTATATAATCATTTTAAGTGCAATGCAGACTGTGCTGGGTTCCCCAACTCTCTCAAGCATAAAGTGTGTTTTATTCCTTTTACGATAAGCAATAAAAGAAAGAAACTGCAGTATTATTCATCAACAGCCAGGCTGACTTGCACCAAGGTCTAGTGGATAGCCATGGAGCAATGCTCACCACAAGCTCACTGGCAAAATATTACATCCCTTGGGTTCCATGAAAAAGTTACTCCTAAAATATCAGGCCAACTTGTAAATAATCACTGCCCCATTCACTTCATTTGAGCTGTGGCAACTGGCATCAGCTGAGGGTTCAGCTCATTGTTTTCCATCATGTTTTTTCCCACTTCTCAAGTGTGTCTTCATTCTTTGCAAGACAATATTTGGCTTTCCAGTGCTCTCCAGGCACAATTTGACCAGATCCTCACTATCTCTGCGATTCACTGACAGCACTTTGACCTGAGCCCAACTAGCAACATCACACAATTCTGCTGACATCTAAATTTGGGGTTTCGAACTGAAATGAGAAGTCTGCTTCCAAAACGGGGAGAAATGTTACTGCTGATCCAATGCGTAACTGTTCACAAATAGGAAGGAACACCTGCTTTCATATGCAGAGCCAATCCTGCAGGGTTTGGCACAGCTGTAGTTATATTTGCAGTAATCAAGTCTGTTAACCTGAAATATTCAGGCGTCTCATATAGCGTAGATATGTATTAAGGGGGCAAAAATAGTTGTTTATTATTAAAATAGTTGTGTAATAGCTTTTATTACACCACAGCAAGCAGAGTTTAGAACAAGCTCCCAGACTTGTGACTGGCTCAAAAAAAATCATGTGATGAGTCAAGGAGATTGTTTTTTGTTGCTCTCTGCTATTTGCATGTCCTTATCTTTACACAGGTTCTGGGCATTTCAATACAGCACAGGCAGAGATGATCACAAGGTCCAGACTCTAAGGCAGGGGCGGGCAAGTATTTCAGGCGGAGGGCTGCTTACTGAGTTTTGGCAGGGCCACATGACAGGCAGCCAGGGGCAGATAAATATTAATTTTCTAAACTTTTTAGGGGCCCTGCGGGCCCGATAGACCGACCTGGCAGGCTGCATCCAGCCCGCAGGCCACATTTTGCCCACCCCTGCTAAGGGTAGGTGACATCTGCACTGCGATCTATAAGCAGACATACATGAGCCATCTTTAATTTAGCTGGGTTTGGGGCAGACGGCAGTCAACCCTTGACAGCCTGGGGTTCAGAGTGTGCTGCACAAGCCTGCTTGAGACCTTGGTAATTGTGCTGTTAGGGTTTCACTGCTATGATACCTGAGCTACCCAGTTTAAAGCTAGCTTAAATATGTCTGCACAAGCTGAAGTCCCACCTCATAGCAGAATGAATGTAAACCACAAGCCCCTGCAACTAATAAAGCTTCTTTAGATTGTTACAAAAAAAGGAGACTGGCACAGAGAGGCAGTGGGATATTTGGCTGTAAAAGCTGTAAAAGTTATGAGATGCTCTGCATGTTAAGTTTCTCTTTAAATGCCATATTCACTTCTCCCCCAAAATTACCATGTCTTAAGCAGGAAAGCTGATTTTCTGCACCAGAATAGAAGCATGGAGATGCTACCCCGGCTGCCACTTTTCTCCCTTTTCTCTGAGGCGGCCAGCAGCTGCGGAAAGCCCATTATCAGTGTCAGTGCCCATGGCTGAGAGGGTGAACAGTACCTTTTGCCCAAGTAGGCAAGGGAGAGCAAGTCTGTTGAAAAGTAGTCTCCTACTCCATGGGTCATCTTTTGGCCCCGACTCTGAAAAAAAAATCTTTTTTTCTCCATTCTATCTTCCCAAAACAAGTTTGTGTCTTATTTGAGAGGCATGTGGTATGCGAGAAAAATCACAGTACTAACATCTGCAGAACTGAACATCCAGGGTCCTGGACACAACAGGCTAATACTGGCCAAAGTAAAGCCAAAACCAATATTGACTTTGAGGGACTGTAAGTGTTGATGATAGCTGTGGCATGCATTCTGAATGCCTCCGCCAGAAACACACGGACATTTCTTTAATATGGCTACTATTTTTAAAACTATATTTTTTTAATTACCTTTTAGACAATTTTAAAAGAAACTGCACTTAAGCCATTCATATGAGGAGAGGTAATGCATATGGGTCCTCTGTGTTTAAAACACTTTAAAAAAAGATATGATCTTATACCTGGTGTAGACAAGACCCATTCAATGTGCTTTAATTATAAATGAATAGTAGGTTTTAGATGTCATTACACCTTTTATTTAAACTTGGGAATCTCAAAGCATCTCAGAGCATTATTTAAGCTTCTGAACATCTCCCTATAGCCTAAGGAGATATTATTAAAGCCATTTTACAGAGGAGGGAGCACAAGTATGGAGTGTAGTGACTTGGACAAGGTAAAAGAAAGGAAGCACTGAAGAGCAAGGATACCCCACCTTCTTCCTTGGGAGACTTAAGATAGCCTCGTTCAAAACCTATGAAGATCAAGTTGTACAAATGAACATGCTGAGGGAATGTAAAAAGGCTAGCTGTCCTTCTGATGAGAATGAAAGTCGCACATCAAGGGTACTACTGAGACACAAAGGCTGAGGAAGGACTCGAGCCTGGGAAGTCCATAGGAATTTGGCCTTTGACTTCAGTGGGGGCAGCTCCAAGACTCCCCGCACAAGAATCAAAATGCTCAGTCGGGACAGATCACAAGGGACTGATCTGTAGTGACTACATCTTAGCAATAATGTATTAGCAGACAACAAAACACCAAGCCATGCCCACTGCATTTCCAGCGTCACACTCAACTGAATTCATGCTCTTTCTCGCTCTCCTTTCGCCCAACCCTGGCTCAGCAGTCCCATACACAGTATGAGATACATCTGTACACATACTATGGGCCCAACACTAGACATTTACAGGAGTCGTGCTTGTGAGCGGTACCAATGGTACCAACTGGGCTAAGCCTAACACGCTGATACACCCAGCAGTAAATATTTACAGAATCAGGGTGCTTGCAGTTGTGTGGGGATACTGCTCCGACACGCTGTAATTACAGCACATCAGAGCAAACTCGATTAATCGCAAACAACAAATTAATTGAGTCTGCTGGAGCGTGCTAATCGGCGCGCTCCAACAGCCTCTGCATCTCATGTATTCAGTGTCCCCATGCTTCAAAATGGTGGTGGGGGCATTTTAACTAAAGCTTGTTGAACAAGCTTTAAGGTGCTTCTGCCACCATTTTAAAGTGTGGGACGCTGAATACACTAGACGAGATGTGACACTGAGGGTGCTTTAATTAGAGCAGCTTGCAGAGCCACTGTAATTAAACCTGCCTCCCCAATACACGTGTAAAGGCGCCCTCAGGTTCTAGATCTACAGCCATGAGCTACATTCAAGCCCTATTTACGTAAGTGCCCCTAAATGACAGTGGAGTCGCACAAATGTGAATAAGAGCAAAATTTGTCCCTTTAATCATTAACAGGACTTCACAATAAAAAGCAAACACAACTTGACCAACAGCAGCAACAAACAGAAGTTAGTTTGATCTTCCCATACAAAACCACCCTGGATGACTGATGGATTTTTATCTAATATCAGCAAAGGACTCTTAAGATATCTGACTCTTAAGATAAAAGACTGCAAAAGACTCCATTTTTAGCCTCCGTTTTAGGATCAAGTAAGCAAAAGCCACTTGCTATAAACTGAGTTGACATCTGCCATCCATCTCAGCTAGGCATCTTTGCCATGTGTTTGTTATTCCCAGGTTGGGCTTCCTTAGGTTGCATGGTTAGGTCTAGTCTCACTGAGCATCACTGGTTAGTCTGGAGGTTAGTATAAACATTCAACAGGTTACCTGCCCTTCTTTCTGGTCCAAATACAAGAGTAAATGAAGGAGCTGAGACACCTAGCAAGGGAAAAAAAAAGCCATTTTGGCAATACACATATAAGCTTGAAAATAAAATATATATGGTGCAAAATGTACTTAAGCCTGGACCTGTGTGTGAGAGCACGGGTTTCCTGGGGACTCATTCACACTTCACTGACAGATGAAGAAGGATGGGAAAAGATGGGTAGTGAGAGGGATGAGCAGCGAAGCCCAGCCGGGCCTATGGCATGTCACTTAACTCCTCCATGCCTCAGTTTCCTCCTGAGGAAAACAGTATTTACCTGCCTATGCTGCCTTAATCAATGTTTGTGAAGTGCTTTGAAGCTCAAAAGCAGAGAGATTGTTTAGCCTGGAGAAGAAAAGTCGGAAAGGGGATCGAACCACAATCTTTAAGTACAAAAATGGCTGTTATAAAAAGCCTGGCAATCTACTGTTCTCTATGTCCACTAAGGACAAGGAATAGTGAATGGCCATACATTGTGACTAGGGAGGGTTTGGTTGGATAATTAGGAAGGACTTTCTGATGATGGGGGTGACCAAGCCCTGAAAAGGGTTTCCTAAAGAGATTGTGGAAGTTTCATCACTGGAAGGTTTTAAGGTCAATGCTGGTCCGTAATACATGCCCGGGATGGGTTAGGCAGGGGTAATACTGCTTGGGGCAGAGAGTTGGACTAGATAATCTCCTAAAAAGCACCATCATGAAAACATGCCCCGGGGCACATCCAGTGTCACTCTCAGGCTCAGGTGTGCTCGCAATAACACCAGTGCCCACAGCCACTCTAATGGCAGCTACATGACATTTTTTTCATTCCCTGTCTCATACAGGGCAGGGCGTGTTTCCCACAGCACGGCTCCTTATCGCTGTCCAACAAGGTGTAGACCTGCCCTGCCACTTTTCATACTGGATAGATATTTCTTTTCGTGTGAACTTCCAGTGTCCCATCTCATTTCTAATCAATGTGCAGAATTCCCACTGGTGTTAAATGGGTGCTGAGTGCTGTGAGATTTGCTCCCAGTTTAGAAAGTTTTAATTGAGGGTTATGTGATGATGAGTGGGGCTTTGGCAGCCACCTTAGTTCTAGCGGTCGGAAGCCAGTGTGAGAAGTAGCACTTCACTAAACCCATGGTAAGGAGGTGGTATTTGTATGCAGAAAGGTATCAACAGACATGCAATGTTGAAAACTGCACCCAGGACCTTATGCTCTAAAACAGAGGCCTCTTTCACTTAACAGGACCATCCTTATATGATTTCTGGAAACAGGGCATTATAAGGCAACACAAACACAAACACATATACCATGCATTTTAGCTTCTGACACCTAAACATCCAGTTATAGACAAACACTTGCTTCTGCCTCATTTCCACACCTTCCCTGCAACAACCGCAGAGCTTAGGAAAAGAATTGTGAGGACAGTTATACAGGCCACAAAGGAAAAATTAGCTCATGTGCATGTGACGATGACTGTCGACAACATCCACCTATTTTGTTTGTGCAGTCTGCTTGTCCCAGGGACTCTAGGCTGTTGCCTGAAGCCTTCACTGATCCAATCTCTCCATATGCGCTGGAGGTTCTGCTCTCCTGCACACACATTTTATGTCATCTGCATGTTTAAGCAGGGCTGGATCGATATCAAAGAAAAGCTCAATAGAAGGAGAAACAATGACCCAGCCCTCCCCGGGCATGTTGCTGAGCAGTGTCTGGGGTTTTCCTTGGTCAAAATGGTCTTTGGACATCCTAAACATCAGTGAACTCTAATATTTGAGCATGAGAGATGCATCACTCCATGACCCAGGAGCACCTAGTTGGAGGAAAGTCATCATAGGCTGTGCATTATGTTGGTTTTGAAGAGATTATTTTATTGGACCATCTATTGAGTTGAGATAAAGTCAGGCAAGCTTTCAAATGCAAAATATTTCTCTTCAGGCCTGACCACAACCTTTGGACCATCACAGCTACAACATCACTCTTGCACTACCACTGCTTTTCAAGGAAGTTGTACACCAGCCTCTTTGGTAGTATCATACACCCAGACCAATATTTTCAAGTAACCACTGATTTTGGGTGTCCTGTCTAAGACACCGTAAAGGCGCCTGCTTGCAGGGGACAGGCACTCAGCACTTCCTAGAAATCTGAAAATCCTTTATGTTCTCCCAAATCAGATACCTCCAAGCACTAGACACATTTGCAAATCTTGGCCATACCGGCTAGGGTCATGATATGGCCTTTACACAGACGTTTGTGCTAAGCAGCACAAACAGAGACACCCTAGGTGGCAGACAATTAAAAACTGTGGACGCTACCCCCAACCAAATGGCCCTGTTCACTTTCTCAAACCCTTGGCCCTGCTGTAGTTCCTCCTTCCCTGCACTACTCTACTCTTCATGCAGTGCGCATGCGGGCCCTGAAGGTCTCCATTGGCAAATGAGGCTGAGCAAGAATTCCCCTTGTTGGGATCTGCTTCCAGATCCTTAAAGGTATTTAGTAGGGCTGTGCGAAACAGCAGTTTTGCTTCAACTTCCGTTTTGACGTTTCCATGGAAGAGTGTTTCGTTTTGAGTTTTGTTTCATTCCGTTTCGTCAAAATGGTTTCGCTGTTTTGACACTGTTTCGAGGTTTCGCCCATAGGCAATAATGGGGAAGCATGAAACAGCCTATAACTTTGTCATTTTCTGTCTGATTTTGATGAAACTTGCAGGGATGGTACCCCCTTCTAAGGGCATGAAGCCTGCTGAGTTTCAAGGAGATCAGTACAGGGATTTCTAGAAAACTGCACCTCAGGCTGCTGACAAGCAGAAGCCAGGGAGCAAGAGCAATGTCCTGTGATCCGGCAGGCAGATAAGGGGGGTCCACACCCCCAGGAGGAGTCCGGCAGAGCCCCTGAAGCCCTCCCAGGGGTGCAGGCAGGCCTCCAATCTGCCTGTCAGACCACAGGATGCTGCTCCTGCCACCCGGGACCCAGTGCTGGGGAACTGAGCCTGGACGGGGAAAGCAGCTCCTCCAGCCGGGAGGAGTTCCCAGCTCCTCGCAGCACCAGGGAACTCATCCACACTTCCCCCAGCCCGGCTGAGCTCCTCAGCGCTGCGAGCCACTGGGAACTGAGCCCAGTTGTAGGAGGTGCATCCCCCAGCCGGGCTCAGTTCTCAGTGGCTCACAGCCCTGGGGAACTCAGTCCGGCAGGGAGAAGCATCACCAGGCTCGGTTCACAGCCCGGTGGAGCTCAGCCCGGTGGTGGGAGACACCAGCTCTGCCCACCTTCTGCCACTGGGCTGAGCTCGATGGGGCTGGCAGAGCCGATGGGAGCGCAGGCCGGTGGTAGGAGGTAGGCAGAGCTGGTGCTGTGCTCCAATGGGCTGCACCAGCCCCAGAGTGCAGCTCAGTGGCAGGAGGCAGGGAGAGCCACAGCTGCGCTCCCCACTAGGCTGAGCCACATGGGGCCGCAGCCCTGGCTCTCCCCTGTCTCCCCCCACCTGGCTGGCTGCTTCAAAATTCAAAACATTTTGAAACATTTTGACTGGCCTCATTTCATTTTGAGACTGTTCCAAAGCCCTTCATTTAGTTTTAATTTTGCTGTTTCAAGCTTGAAACAAGTTGAAACAGCATCGAAACGAAACAGCTGGCAAAATTTTGCACGGCCCTAGTATTTAGGCACCTAACTGCTGCTGAGCTAGGTACTCTGAGCCATGATGCCTTTGCTGGGTACCTGAGAGGAGAAAGTTTGTTGTAGACAGAGGACAAACTGGACCAAGCATGTATCCTAGATCAGGGACTGACTGTCTTTTCCTAAAGCCTAATCCAAAGCCCAGGAAGGCCTAGGGTCTCATTTCATTGAATTCATTGGTCCCCAGAGCAGGACCTAAATGTTCTTAGAGAGATATGTACATACTCAATTCCAAATTCTTTGATTTGCATGACTGGTGCCTTCAGCGGATAGCTGGAATTATTGCTCGCTTTGGCAGGATTACAACTCATATTCTCACATGCATGAAAGGCTCCTGAACCACTTCTCAGACATATTTCGCACAAATGGGCTTTTCATTAAAGCCGGTCATGCATGGCTGCTTTCTTCCCCTTGGGTTTTTAGTCCAGGACATTGTGACCACAGCAAGGAGCTCTCTGCACCACATTCCCCATTCACTACCAACATCTGAATTGCAGCAGCTCCTAATACATCGATTCTGCTAGGGGCTGTGCAACCAGTAGGCTGATGGGCCCAACCCAAAAGAGATTGCAGTCTCTGAGGCTAAACCAGAGACAGAGACAACCTACTATAAATACTTGGATGGTGACACAACCTCCTAGCTGCCTGGTCCTTTCTATGTCTTCCCAAACAGTAATGATGGGGGAGATAGGAGAGACCACAAGAGCTGCCTTCCAGGTGGGCAGGGGCTAATTGCAAGATGAATTTTTTGATCTCTAGCACAGGGATGGTTTATCCAATGGCGGTAGAAAGGGGCCCGTGGAGTGTTGGTCTCAGAAAGCAGGAGCTTGAAAGAGTGAGTACATGGGAAGTCACATGTAGAGGTGGTGCTGGGATGGTTGGGGCATTGGGCCAGGAGGGATGGAGGGGCAGAGCTGGTGCAGCAGGTACTGGGCAGGTCAGGGCAGTGAGGGAGGGATCTGGCACCTGTGTTTGGGGGTGAACTGTCATTGCAGTCAAGCCGTCAGGAACTTGCCCCCATATTTGTCCCAGTTTCTTTGCATTGGTAATCCAGTTCTCTTACCCAAGCCTTGCTGCTGCCACTTTAGTGCCCAGGCTGGGCCTCATTTCCAGCCCCACTGCTCATCTGAGCCTCAAGTTCCCCCATAACAAGAGCTTTCCCAGCCAAGCAGGGCCCCCTCCTGCCTTGCTGCTCCAGCTCCTGCTAAAAGGAGGGATGAGAAGGAGAGAACAGGAGTCCTTTGCTCCTGGGGGCTGGCTCCTGTCCTCTGGGAACACTTTTTTTCCTTCCTCTGTCATGGGGCTGTGGGACTGGAGGGTGCTTGAAGCCTCGGCTTTGTGGAGGGCAATGGCTGAAATCAAAGTTGCAAATTTAGACTGCAAATTTATCTCATCATCATCTCACCGAGCCACAAAGCATTAACAAGCCTGAAGGCACAATGTGTGTCAGGCTGGCCGACTGCTGATAGGCTTATGATGCCTCAAATGGGACTGTGCTCTGGGACTGGAATGCTCCCCCATGGGGGCAGGACCAGCTCTAGGCTTGCGGCGCTGGCAAGACAGCAACTGGCTGATACGGTCTCCGCTGAGAGATCATCGTTCTGGAGCAGGTAAGCAGGGGCAGGGTGGCAAAGAGTGCTGGAAGCCCCAAGAGGCCCTCAGCCTGCCTTGCAAGTGGCCCATCTTTTTCGCTAGTCTGGGCACAACTGTTGGTTTTTATAACATAAATGGTGTCTGGTTAGCCACAAGCACAGGCCCCATACCAGACACCTAACAAAGGCCAGTGGGGGAGCTGGAGTAATACGACAGGATGTATACGGAGCATCTGCTGTACAGATGTGTACAAGACAATCTGCGTACAAGGCAAAGGGTTACAGGTGGCTACAGACAGGTGGGAGTGCAAGGAGGCAGGCTGTAAGTATGAGCTAGTGCACCAGACACAAAGAAAAGCCCAGGGCCAGGCATTTCCCCAGGTGTCCAAGTACTTACCATATTCCTTCAAAGAGATTTGCTTTTTTAAACCAAGTATTTCTTCTACAATTGACCTACATTTTTAACTCAAGTGAAAAATAAAAGTAGAATAATACCACAGAGGTATCGCAGAGGTTGTATGTTTATAAATGTGTCTAAAGTTAATGTTTTATTTTTTTCTTAAACTGAGACCTGGAAAATGTGGATATGTCTGAAATGGAATGGCTCCTTAAATTCAAAGGAATATGTTAGATCTGAGACCACTTGAGCCATTCGCATGTGGCAGAGAACAGTAGGAGCTATGCTGATTTAAACTAGCAGAAGAGGAGCCAATCCTTAATATCATGGTAGTGGGTTTTTTTGGCCTGTTACTCAAGATGAAGCAAGCAACAAGACAGTTCCTTGCTTTCTCTTTTGGTAAGGCCCTCTGTTCACTGGGAGCTGCAGGGACTTCCTACTTCTGAGAATCAGGCTGCATCTCTGCAGTCTAATACGGATTTATGAACCTGACTTTATCCTAGGGCTTTAACTTGAGTATGTTAAAGATGCTTTCCCTACCTATGCTAGCTTGTTAATGTACTAGCCGTTAGCTAGCATAGGAATCCAAGCACAGAAACAGGCAGTGTGAGTACTGGAGTGGGGAACTGAAATAGCAAGTAGGGAACTTCCTAAGCACAGTCATTAGTGACTAGTGTGTAATGGATTTCTCCTGAATGGCACTGCTTCGAGTCCACATTTTTAGCTCTATCTAAGCACTTTCCAGATAATATTCAAGTAATTACAATTTGCCATACACCTACAACGGTGGACAGGTATTACACCAGCTTATCATTTGAATATGGCAAAGCGAGGGAATGACTTGTCAAAGGTTATGCACCAAATCAGCAGTGGAACCCAGGAGTCCTGCCTCACTCTATGTCAGAGCCAGAAACAGAAGAGAGTCATAGCCCTGCTCGAGATGCCGTAATTCAGTACAACAGATCATCAAACCATGTCCTAAGACAGGACGTAGATAAAGCTCACCAGTTATACGTACGTAGTCTGGCTTAAAGCATTATCACTACACTGAGCTCTGAAGAGCATCATGTGGCAATGGCAGAGAATCTTAGACAAGGCTGCTTTCTTCTCATGTTGAACAAGGAGCTTCACTGGATGCAAAGAGCAGGACAAACCCCAAACTACTCTGCCCTCCTCTATTTCTCTGCATACCCTTTTTTTTCTTATAGCCCTTCCTAGCTGCCCTCCTGTCTGGCTTCTTGTCCTCCTAGCTCTAGCTAAGCTGTCCATCTATCTGACCAGGATGGAGGCTCCGGCTGGGAGGACCTGTGGTGATTGTCTTCTTGTCCCTCACTTGCACACATTTCCAGGCAGAGTTTCACTGGGTGGCATGCACTGGTTACTTTGATTTGTTTAAGGGCCAGTAGGCAGTGGCTGGTGTGGTCTGTTCAGTGTTCCCCCTTGGAGCGCTTGCTATTAACCTTTGACCTGCACTCCTACCTCTGTTCTCACATTTCTTGTCCCACAAAGTCTGTTGTTGCATCTCTAGAAGCCTCCCTAATTAAGGCTAAAGTTTTCCTAGTGGGCCTAGGCCTACTGGCTTCCTCCTGCTATGCAGATCTTCACAAGGTGGACAGTAAGCAGTTTTCTGCTCCTTTGCTCAGGGCCGGGAGGGAGAGGTGGGACACAAAGGCTTTGAGCCACCTTTGTACTTCCATAATCTGGGGCTGCTTATGCCCATGTGTAAATCAGAGCAACCTCAGGGCTGTTCTAAATTGCATGCTGCTTCCTCTGCAGACACCAGATGGTATACATCGTCCAACTACAAGCACCAGTGTAGTGCAATGAAGGCAGTGCACAGATGTGGGGAGGGGGGGCAGACTTCTGTCCATCTGAAGGTTCCTTTGTTGGCAAGCTGGCGTCAAAGGGCCTCTGCATAAGTGAGGGGTCAGCCTCATGTGCCCCGCTGTTTCACATAGCCGTTGTAGTTTCTGCAGTACTGACAGCTTCACATCAGCTCAACTTCTGCAAAACTGCAAGCTGGGAACCCTATAAGAATCCTTGGCTTTGTATGGAACCCCTTGGGTTTTGCCCATTTAAAGTAGGTATTACTATTACTGTAACATCACTTGTGCATGTCAGATTCAGTACAGTATACTCTTCTGCTTTGCACTCTTGAGCACTTTCTATATGAGGCTCTCAAAGCACTGTACACATTCATACACCTGGCCTCACAAACCCCATCACACAGGAAAGAACTACTCCCATGTTGCAGGTGAGGCAATCGAGGCATAGGGAGACAAAATGACATGCCCAGGATCAAAAAAGAAGTCTGTGGCAGAGCCAAGGAAAGACTCCAGGTCTTCCGACTCGCAGTCATTTGCCTTAACCAGAACAGCATTCATTCTTTCTACAAATTGCTGCTATCCCTCTGTGAGGACTTGTTTAAGGGCTACCTGCACTGGGTCTACACAACAATCAGAGTATAGGAGCACACAGTATGCCACAGCAGATGAGATCATCTGTCCCATGCGTCCAGGTTCCTGTCTCCAGAAGTGACCAACACCCACTGGTTCATGAGAATGTGATCTCCCCTTTACCCCAACAGAATGCAGAATATCAATAATGCATAATAATCTGTGTATTAATGCATATTTATAACAGGGCACTGCGCGTACTGTAAGGGAAGGCAACCTTCCTGATACCACAGGGAATCATGCAATGGCCAGAAGCCCCAGGCTTCAGTAGTCTGCCATTAGTCTCCACATGAGAGGCTGTTAAACTTATTAAGAACACAACAGGGTGATTTCAGGCCTGGGTTTGGACGTCGTGTCCCCAGATGGACCTGTAAACAGGTGCATGGAACAATTTGGCAGTTGAGCTTTGAGTCACCTAATGGGGTCGGTAAACAATTTCCCAAGCCAGTGCTAACTGGTTCTGTGTATAATTAGTCGCAATCACTCCTAGCGATATAATTATACATTGTGGAAAGGGATGCTGAGATGATGAGCAGCACTTGCCAGTGCTATTGGCACTGTCAGGAGGGTAGCATAAATGACTGAGGCAGGGCTTCATAGGAGCCGTGGATGGCACTGAGAAAAGGCCTCCACCTTTATAATGCATTAACCCCTTTGCATGAGTTCACTCCCTCCTGCACAGGCTTTGTCTTGTATACCATCCACATCCCAACATGCACCTGTGCGGCTGGTGGACGGGGCAGGGATGTAGGACTGTCACCAGGGAAAAAAATTCAGATTCCCCCCAACTCTCTCCCTCTCCATGATTGCTGTTGGTGATGTCATGGGTTGAGATGCTGACATCGCCACTGCGCCCTGTGCTTTCCCAGCGCTGGTTACCTTGGAAGCTGCCATCACCGCCGCTGTGGCCGCAACGTTCAGCCCCCGCTTCCCGAAGTGCACAAGGGCATCGTAGCTGCGGTCTTTTGCTTGGACAAGGCAGTCATCGATTTCCTGTCATGCCAGACAAAAAGCATGAGGGGGATGGTTCAGTTATCCTGGGTCAGGAGGCAGATATTTCCCACCCTCCTGCTTCCTCCAGAGGAGAATGATGCCAGCAGAAGAAGAGGAAAAGGGCATTGCAGGCAGAAATAACCCACATAGAGATCCTTAGGTGTTGCTCTTGTCCTGCAAGACAAGAGCACTGGCCCCATAGGGCTCACTGTTTCTTGGGTAAGAAGGTGTTAGCCATGCTTTAGGCTCACATGCCATTCACTGTGCAACACAGTAGTCACTAAAATAGCCCCCATGGCCACAGGAGACTGGATGGTAATGGGTTATGGAGGCTTTAAGTGCTGGTCAGAGGTTAGCAGTGCCCAGAAAGATTTATGCTTTGATTTTGGCCTGTGTTAAAGGATTCAGTCCACTTCCTACAAGGCAACAGCCCATGACCGCAACCCTCCCATCTCACCTGCATGCAATCTGAGTCCAAAGGGAAAGGAGCAGGAAGAATGAGCACCCTCAGCCCTGCAGAAGTAGCCCCTCTACAACAGCTCTGTATGGCCTGTTCTGTGGCTAACCCCAGCTCCTGCCTCTCCAAGGCAGCCAGTGCAGCTTTGATTTAAATCTCTTAAATTTTTTTTAGCAGTCTTCTTTGATTTAAATCTCAGATCTGCTCAGATCTGGGCATGACAGCTCAGTCCTTTTATACAGCGTTAGCTACTGCAGGGATTAGCACCCAGCAACATCAGCTGAAGCCCTCACTAACCTCATGATGACTAGTCTGTGTGACCATGATCTCTATTATACCTGCTTTATGGATATAGGAGATGGCTTGTCTCCAGGTCTTTGGCAGAGCAGTGAACAGAGCCAAGGTGTCCCATCTCACAGGCCCCATAACGCTAATGCCTCCCTCCCACCTGAAGCAGGCAGCACTTCCAGAAATGACCCTCCTGCTTCATTTGATCAGTGCATCCCCAGCTGTGATGCTTGCCATCCCCTGTTTCTGCTGCCATTGTTTTCAGGGTGAACAGAAAATATTCATCTGTCACCCACTGAACTCCCACTGAACTCCCCCAATGCACAGATGAGTGACAGCAAATGAGTTCACCAGACAGGCATACAACACAGCAAAAAAGGAGATCATCAAAGAATAAACTACGACAGGCACAGTAATGTGGCAACTCCCAGTCCTCTGAGGGAAGTCGCTGACAGAAGGACGTAAATGCCCAGCTGTCTGTGGGAGCCACCCAGGCTCAGAGCACCTGCAATTACCTTTTCTTTTGAGGACAGGGTGGGGTGTACAAACTTTCTGTACAGAAGGCTGGAGCCCTTCGTGTATGGAGACAGCAGCCAGGCTACAAAAGCTATTTTCAGTTCATAGTAGAATGGAAACCTGCAGGAAAACAAAGAGGGAATGAACCTGATTGAGCCCCTGCTCCCATGCTAATACCAGCTCAGCTCAGTTAAGGACAGGCAGGTTCATAGCCTGGAGGGCTTTCTGTTTCTCAGGGATCCTTCATATGTACCCACTTTCCCCACCATTACTTCCCCTTCTCCTCCCCAACTCTGGCCAAAGGCAACACTTTTCCTTCCAGCCATAAGCAGTGCCAGGACTCCTGTAACTAGAAGAGTCTCTGTGACATGATAGAAGGAGCTGTCTCCAGTCTCCCCAGCCGCTACAGACCTGGGGAGCTGGGAGGGAATAATGTAGTTCCTAGCACAGCCACCACCAGGCTCCACACTAGCCTCCTATCTTCATCTCTCTTTCTGCTTTCAGATAATAGTATCCAAGTAGAATCCAAATGTGGTCCTTTTTGTATGGTGCAGGAATTGTTTCATTATCTGTGCTTGTCCAGTATCCAACACAATGAAACCCAGTCCTCAATGGGGACTTTGGGCACTACCATGATATACAAAAAACAATGGGATATGTTCTAGATATAATCGCAGGTATTAGCAAGGTGCCTCTCACTACTAGGTTCTTCCAATTCTTGTACTTTTGTACAAAGCCTAAGGGTGGGTGTTAGTCCACTGGCTTTGTCTTTAAGTCATTCTTTCAGAAACTCTGCTCAACACAGACTAGCAAGACGTGGTACCACATACAATCAGTGGACTGACACTGAGTCCCGAACCGTTAAAAGGACACTTCTGTCTACTCAACTAATCCCACTTTCTTTCTTCGAGGCCAGATTCTGAGAAGTACTTAGCACTTTCAATTTCCTTTGCTCTCAAAGTGGGCAGCGCTTTGCAGAAATAGGCCCTTGGTACGGGATGTGTAAGGGCTAGGGCTAGATGCAAAGCCTACTGACTTCACTCATTTTCAATGGCTTGAACAGGCTTTGAGTTAAGCAGGCCCTATAAGAAAGAGGAAGGAACATTTCCAAACTTGGGGGCCGAAGGTAATTATGCCCACCCTTAGGTACCTTAGCAAATGACCTGAACCAAAGTCAAACAAAGTCAACTGGCATTATTCCACTGACTCCGGGGACTGCTTTTGGCAAAGACATTGTCCCTTTCCTCTAAATTACTTATACATGCAAAAAAAGGGACAGAGCACCCATTCCAGGACCACATAACACAGCTTGCTGTTGTAACCTGCTGGCAGGCATGGTTTGCAGGGTCCATTGTGCCAGACCCACAAAGGATATAACCCACTTGTAGTCCACACCTAGAAAAGCTGTGCTGTTCAGCTCAAGGTAGCATTGCTTGTGCTTCCAGCTCAGCAGGGCCCCAGCAAAATCCCATGTGCTCATCAGGATGGCAGTTCCCTAGCTCTGGTTGCAACAGATTATATGCTCTGTGGTTTAGGCACAGAAAAGGGTCCTGTGCCACACACTCATTGATGGATTATGCTGGAAGATAGCAAGCTTTACAAGGGTGGAAGAGTGAAAGTCTCACTGGCCATGTTGAGACGAGCATGGCCGTGCAGTGTGTGCAAACAATTCTGCAGTGCCACATACCGTACATTTAGATGTTCTTCACGCTGCAAGGGCGCACTGCCCATGTGTGCACTGCTTGCTTTTCTTTTCCATGGGTTTTTTTGACCCTTGGATATCCAGGAGTCAAAAAAACCCATGGAAAAAAGGTACAGCAGTGCACACACGGGCAGCATGCACCACTCAAAAGCTGAGCCAGGCCACCCGGAGCCATATTCTAGCTGCCAGCCAGGCTCCGCATGGCAGAATTGCTGATGCCTCAGCCCTGGGAAGCCTTCAGGACCCCAGGTAAGGCTCCTGGAGCCAGCCCAGTGCCAAACTTGCCACGTGCCAAAGCGCACATGGCACAGGCATTCCCCAGGGACAAGCAGTGGCAGCATAAGGTGTGCCCCTAATACTTGTCCCTGGGGAACCAAATGTCCACGCTCATCTGGACATGCCTGCTGGGCGCATCTACACAAGGCACCTGCTGCACAGTAGACTAATTAGCTGTGCAGTAAACATCTCAGCATCTACACATGAACCCCTATGAGGCTGGAATAAACTAATTTATTCTGCAGCACAATGGTACTTTAAAATAAAAGTATTATCCTGCTGCGGAGTAAAAAACTCTTCAGCAGCACATGTGTAGATGCTGCCTGGCTGGCTGGGGCATGAGGGTGCTTCAGTGCAGGGACCGCCTGCCAGCTAGCCCCACACTGAAGCACCCTTGTGCCCCAGCCAGCCCCTCCACCGCACATTGTGCCGGGGGGAGCAGCCCTAGGCTGGCGGGCTGATCCCCAGGGCCCCTGCCAGCTGGGACTGCTCTGGCATGGCTTAACATGTTGCACATGAATAAACTCCAGAGCTTATTGTGTCTGGGCACATGTTCAAACAGTGCAACCAGGAGCAATAAACTCTGGAGCAATAAGCCCTGGAGTTTATTTCTGCACAGTAATAGCATGTGTAGATGTGTCCACTGTGGTTTATCTTCCTTTCCTATCTCTTCATGTTTCCACTTCCCTTTCTCTCTCTCTTCCTGCTTTCCCTCACTCCCTTCCCCTCTCTTCTCCCTCACATACACAGAAAACTTTCCTTATGCTGGTCTCTACCCCCTCCAGTAGCCAGACTCCTTCATAAGGGTTCAAAACAGCAGCACACTGCCAGATCAGCTCTCTGTGGACAGTGACAAATCTTCACCAGACACTATCTCACAGTCCAGCTGCCCTGAAGTTACTATTTCCCACCCTTCCTTCCCCTGCCCCCATCCCCCAATTCTGGCAGCAATGGAAAAGGAAATGTCAATCCTCCAAGCAAAACACCCTGTGCACCTGGCATGATTGACCCCCTGCTCAGGAAACGGCCTAGCATTGTGAGCCTCTCTCTCTGACCCTTTTTCCCCTTATAAACATTTCCGTTTTTCATCCCCACCTCATTACCACTGCCCTATGCTCACCAGCAAAGAAAGATGTCGGTGAATGTCTCTGCCGTCGTGAAGAGTGCAAATATGATCCAATACATCATCCATTTGACCTGTGAAGAGACAGCACTCACTCAAGTCATGTCATTTCACCCTGGGGATCTCCATAGCTTGCCCTAGTCACAACAGCCAAGGGCACCATTGCTGATATAGTGGGCAAACACCAATGTATTGATTTAACAGCTGGGGAGAACTTCAGGGATTTTGCCAGGGGTCACTCAGCAAATTGTGACCTGTACCTGAGTGCACAGTTCCAGTTCTGTTATGTCCATATCTAAATGGAGGACCTCTGGGGAACCTCTAGTTCCAGATAGAAAGAAGGTGTATTAATGATTCAGTCAGTCACGCTCCTCTTGCCGAGTAGTACCAGCCTGTCCAGAATGGCTGGTGCTGAGTGGTGCTGCGGGAAGCCCTGCATCCCCCACACCCCTTTGGTGTGACACTGTCTTCTTCTACTGGGCCACTCATCATCATGCGATTATAAAAATCTCTGGTGGGCCCACATCTTAAATACTGTATGCAGTTCTGGTTCCCACATCTCAAGGATGTAGGAGAACTAGAAAAGGGACTGAGAAGGGCAACCAAAAGGATCAGGCACATGCAACACTTGGCATACTAAGAGAGGCTCAAAAGGCGATGACTCTTCATTTTGGAAAGAAGGAAGAGGGAGGGATGTGATAGAGGTCTATAAAATCATGAAGGATGTGGACCAAGTGAATAGGGAACTGTTGTTCACCGAGTCCCAGAATACTAGAACTAAGATGCACCCGCTGAAATTAGTAGAACTAACAAGAGAAAGTAGTTTTTTTAATGCAAAGCACAGGTAACTTGTGGAAGTATTGCCACAAGAGGCAGTAGAGGCAGACAGCATAGCCAGGTTCAAAAAAGGGCCTAGATAAATTCATGGATGATAAATTCATAAATGGATATTAAACACAACGGTTGATGTTTCCTTTGGCATCTCTAAACCAATAAAGTTGGATGCCTGGGAGGATACTGAATAGAGGATAAATCACTCTAGATATTTCTGATTCAGTGCTCTCCCTGTATAGCATCCACCCCTGCCCCTGTTGGAGACAGAATACTGGGCTGGATGGACCATTGGTCTGACCCAGCATGACACGTCTTATGTTCTTATACAGATTGATGAATCCACTGCAGCTGACATGAACTGAGCTGGATCTTCTAGCTCCTGTGGACTACTTCTAGAGATTAGGATAGTAATAGGCTCATCTACTTCTGTAAAGAACAAGCAGTCACTAGAGGGAAACATGCTCTGGGTTATAGATACAAAGCTAAGGTCCTACTGATGCTCATCAAAGATCCCAGGGTACTTTTCACAACAGTATAGATGTTAGTCCTGGAGTCTTGCACAAATCCCTATTAAGGTAATTACATTTGCCTAATACACAGAGACAGGAAAAGATAGCCAAGAAAAGATTAGGGTTATCTGCCTCTTACATGGCTCAGCAGGGGCTGTAATAATATGTTTTCTTTGTGACACACAAACGAAAAAGGCTTTGGAGGCTGCAGTCTACGTTGCTGTGTTTTAATGAGGGAATTGCTGTGTTTTGGTTTACTCTGGAAGCTTTTGTGATTGAACAAGAAACTGTGTCCTGAAGCAGAGACTCAGAAGGCATGTAAGTATGTAACTGAGGAGTGAACTCAACCCCCAACATATCCCTTTGCAGTTGCAACAGTCCTCTTCCTAGGTTCCCACTGAAATGGTGGTGTCCTATCACTGCACTGTGGCATTACACCCCAGACAGGGTTTCTTTCAGATGGGTAGAGCAATCCCTAAATCCCAGAGCTTCCAGGGAATCATGCTTTTATCCTGTCACAAATTCTGATGAAAACAATTTTGAGCTTTTGTTTAAAAATCTGCAAATATAAAAACTTTATGGGAGTTGGCAACCCCAAGCCAAAATTTTGGTTGGTTGAGTAACATTTTTGCCCAAATCAGCTGAATTGTTTCATTTGTCTGTCCTCCCCAGAATTAATTATTGGAGAAAAACCTTGAAAAAATGTTATTAAAAACTGAGATTCTCTGGTTCCAACCTAAGGCGCATATTAGTTAAGGAAAAAAATCACAGCCTGGCTGACAGTTAAACTGAATGCAGGGTAAGGTTGCACCTCATAGACGAACTAAATCAGAGATGTATAAGTTTCTATAAGCAACAGCTTACTTCATCAGGTGCATCAAATGCACTTGATCTTATTTAATCTATAAGGTGCAACTCTACATTGCCTTGTCTGACTACAGACTAACACGACTAACTCTATCTCTCTCTGCTCACAGTTATACTGAAACAACTTTCAAGTGTAGACTAGGCTTTGGTTAAAGCTCTAGAGCAAGGGTGAAAAACTCATCTGAGCCGCCTGGCTACATCTGAAGCCCTGGGACTCCTTGTGGATTGGATCCAGACCCCATGGTGATGCTTGGGTGAGCAGTGGGATAA